GGCGGGCAGCGCCGGCGCCCGCGGCACGCAGGGAGTTGTAGTGCGGCCGCCTCGGGAGGTGGCCTCGGCTGCTGCAAACGCTGTTGACCGAGATGCCCCATAAACGGAATGGCCCCTTTGTACCAACCTTCACTGACGTGTCCGGCCAGAGCTTTCTCTAAAATGATTGGTTAGGATTTAGTTGAAATGATGAGTTAGGATTTAGAAATAAAATGCTCAGGGAAAAAAAAAATCCACCCCCTGCAGGTGGATATTGTGTTACTGAGGAGAGGCAAACAGCAAGGAGGAAGGGGTGCTCTAAAATGCTATGCTAGACCCCAAAAAGTCAATTTTTTTTGAAGGCTGCTACTGCTTCGATCTGCGGACCCGTTGCAGAAGATTCAGGTCTCTGTGGTGGTAACTGCCATGAGTGTGAAAATTGCTGGTCAGGACACAGCGGTATCAGGGGCTCCCATGGAAGGACCTTCCCCTACTCCCCATCCTGCAGATTGCTCAGTGCTATGGGTTCCCTTGGACCAGTTTGGAAGCAGCTCCAGGCAGCGTTTCCATTAGCAGAGCACAATTTCAGTGCCTTGAGTGTTGTATTATTCATTCTTTGAAAAGGAATAATAAGAAGAAAATTATAGAAAGGGGAAACAGCATGAACTGTTCTTGGAGCTTTTGGTAACATGCCCTCTTTGAAACGGAATATAAATATAAAGAAGCAAATAAAATCTAATCAAGGAAACAAAAACCCCTATTAGTTAATTGTTCAAAGATTTAAAGCAAGAGCAAACACAGAACCAAACTCTTTATAAGGCAATTGTACATTTCCATTTGGAAAGCAGCAGGATTGGAATATACAGATATTCCAACCCCGCAAAGAATGGAGCAAGCAGAGAGCGAGTCTTGACTCTCTCAGGACAGAAATTGCCCTTTCTTGTATGTCTTCCCAGGTGATGCTGTCCTTGTTTCCCACTTACAGTGCACAGACAGATTCACACTTTATAGTATGAAGGCATGATCTAGTCACACCTCTAACACTGATATTTCTTTTTCTTACTCTGGATGCAAATAGTTAACAGCATTTCTGTTCAGAGAATGTAAGTGACTGTTGCCAAAGCTCTGAGGTGTGGAGGTGGTAAGATGAATGCATAGCAACACATACTCTGCAAACACAAATACAGCTGGTGAAATTATTAATCCAGCAGGGGCAGGAAGTAAGAACATTTGTCGCGATAAAATGGTTGCACAGAGCTAAAAACCGGAGTGATGGACACACTACAGGGCAGGAATAAAAGGCTGAGCTAGACCGTCAAGGCCCATGAGTCTTGTCCTCTCTGTTGCGCATCTCTCCTACCGCATCCCACAACACTCGCAGCTGGAGCTGGAGTATGGTAGCAGCACAGTGATAGTATGGGATGTGACAGTAGGCTGACTAAGGTGTCCCTGTTTGCATATAAACCTAAACTGTTCTCTAGACTTGCTCAGAAACTTTCCGCTGTTTGACCCAATTGTAAATGAGTATCTGAACTAGATGTGTAAGAACAAGAGATGAAGCTGGAGATGCCCAGCACCTCTGAAAATCAGATGTGCTCTGGCCAGTCAGGCTATAGGATATTAGAGAATATGAAGAGACTATTGTGCACACTTTCCATTTGCACTTCATATTACTGCGCACGTAGCAATACATAGCACATGATATTACTAGATAAATTGGATAGGGAGCCAGTAACAAGGGATTGAAGGAAATTTTAAAAATCTAGGAAAAAAAAAAAAAAAGACCTGTGTACAGTTCTCCGAAAAATAACGATGACAGAAGAAGTGAATGAAGAGACAAAGCAAAACTGTTATATAAAGTGAAAAGAAAAAAAAAAGTGATATAACCGTTTGCTTAGAGAATGTTTGGACATCTCTCTATGAAAAGAAATATCTAGCATTCCTGTGTGTTTAAAACACATTACTGTCACATATCTATTGATTTATAAAGTAAAAGTAGATAGAAAAGCAATTTATTTCTACTCTGGTTGCCTCACTAATGCACATCCATTGTGCATTAATAAAAGACACGATAAGTAAATAAATTTACAGAGAGATGAAGAGTAAGAAGATATTTGACAAGTCATACCAGAATTGTCAAGCGAAGATTAAATCCCTGCAAAATGCCTCTGCTTCCCAAGGCTGAGTATGTGAAATTACCAGCCACGGTCACACGTGGGGCGTGAGGGACACGCTTGCATGCAGGTGGCTCCATGGATGGGGGACCGGCAGCCTTGCACGTAGGCGCACGCCACTCGCAGTGCCAGATGCCATGAACGTTAATGGTTCCTGCCATTGCCTTCTCCAGACGCTCCCCTCGCTGGCTGTTCTTGCCACTTTCCTGCACAGTTACATGGAAAAACAGTGATTCACCTCCAATAATCACAAATAAAATCTGGGGCTTTTGAGGAAACAGATGTCCAGGGCAAGCTGCAAAACACAGAATATGGAATGGAGGAAAGTAAAGGTAAAATAGGATGATAGACCAGCCTGCAGGGAAAGCAACCTGAAAAACACTGACCGCTTAGCAGAGAAATAAAGAAAGCACCAAGGAACTTTTAGCAAGGGATTTAAAGGACAGACAATAATGCAGAAGAAAAGAGAGTGCGACATAACTAGAAGAAATAATAGCTTGTCTCCTAAACTGGTGATTTTTCTTTATGTTAGATCTGGAAACAGAAATTACTTATGCCTCTTGTAGTACACATAAAAGTATGGGTGAAAGAAGAAAGTGAAGGCTGCAGTTTCTGACAAGCCAAGGACATGCAGCCTTCAGTAAAATATATATTGCTGGTGACAGAATGAGGTTTTATAGAAATTATCAAGAATAGTAGACAGAGGTTCTATATTGCCAGCAAAGCGTTGAACAGTACTTTTCTCAACAACTAAGTTGTTCTCATTAGGGAGGTAGTGCTGGTAGTTTATTGAATGAGTCTGTATTAAAAGGACAAGGTATATTAGAATAATAAAATGCTTTTTCCTGGTAGTGCTTTTTGTCCACATGTTTCAAAGCACATTAAAAACCTGAGACTATTATTTCCATCTCGAATGTGAAAACACTGAAACATGGGGAGTTTCTGTGATTTGTTACAAGCCAGACAACGTTAGCACCAAAATGAAGGCTAAAAAATAGAGACCAGAGCCCAGCTCTTCCTTTGACCCTCTGTAGCTAACTGAAAAGGGCAAGGCATGACTTACGAGGGAACTAAAATCTACACAGACAACGGAGAGAGGACTACAGGCTTGAGAAATGGAGCCACAGGACTGAATTAGCCTCATAAATCACAGCATCAGAGCAAGACATGCCAGAAAGGCACCTCTGCGAACTGATGGCTGATGGTCATCTCTGTATCTTCAAGAGCTCTTGATGCCTCTTCAGGCCCCAGAGCAGACTGGGTTAAAGAGGACACAAAGCAGAGCTGAACTTCTCTTTTTCTTCCTCTCTCCCTTAGACTATTACATTGAATATCACGCTGAACTGCTGTGCAGAGCAAAGCCTTGCCCATGTCTCTAGTCCTTGCCCCATGTAAATCACCAGGATGTTTGTAATTGACTTAAAAATAGACCCGGAATTCTAATTGCCTTCCACTGCCTTGTCCCTGTCCCATGGTAGCAATGACTTTCTGTGAGAGAAGGCTTCCTTCCAGGAACGAGAAAAAGTTGTTTGGTGGGGTAGGACAGCCTGGAAGGAGAACAAGGGGAAATGTAAGACTAATTGCAATAATACAGGCTCTGATGGTAACATTTGGTAGATACATACAAAAGGCAGCATCTCCTTTTCAAATATGGAAAGCTAGAAAATACATTGCAAGGAGAAATCCTTCCTGGCACCTCATGAACAAGCTACACCACCTGTCTGGGGCTTTTCCCCTCTGAAGTCCCACACTCCTGTTTCTCTGGTATCCGCGTGGGTGTGATCAGAGGGAAAGCAGAGGGAAGTTTCTCGTCTTTTTGAACAGGCAAACCTTTAAAGTCCAGCATGTCCCCTGAACTTTGAACATGCAACCTGAGGTTTTTAAACAAGAAGTCTATTGAAATCAGCAGCAGGCACTGCAGACAAAACTGCCACTCAGCAGCAAGCATGCAATGTATCAGCCGAGGCTGTTAACGTTTGTTTTCTTGTCACAGAGCCCCTGTTCATGTTCCTAAGGAATTTCTGTTTGCTTTCTTTCTTTGGTAGCTTTAAAAAACCCACCCTTTCTTAAGATTCAGCTTAATGGAAAAGTATGTGGAATCAATAGAGGAAAATAAAAAAAAATTTTTTTTGCTTTTTTTTTCTTTGGTCAGGAAGCATGTAATGAAATACGACGTCATCCTCTATATTAAACCAACTCTCCTATAGTTTTTAATTGCTATGTACTTTGGAAGGGTATATTCAGGCAGGCATGGCACACTGCATTAGCTCTTTGGCAAAGAGAACAAGTCTTAGAGATTCACATGCTGCTAAAGCAAATGTTGTGCAGTTTTCTCCTCTGACACATTAGTGTCACTTTTATCCAGCTACTATGTTATGAATGCAGTAAAACCGCAATGATGGTGAAATATACTGCATACTGACAGGACTGGAGGCACAATATAAGGAAAAACACACACTTTGAGCAGCTGGAAAGCTCACAATACGTTATTTATGGGAAATCAATATTTGTTTGCAATAATTACATGTATATGTTCATCCATCCGAAGAAGCGAAGTCGTCTCTATCCCATCTATTTATGGAAAATAGAAAGCAGGGCCACAAAGGATGTTGCCAAAAGTACCAATAGGAGACTCACCACAGGCAGGCAGGGTTTTGGCTGGTTGGCTCTTCTAGCTGCTTTCCATCTCAGGAAGGTGGAAAGGCTCCACCTTTCTCTTTTGGAAAGAAGATTTTCAGTTGCAGCAAAGATCTCATTCCTATGCAAGAAGGTCTCTCTTAAGTAGTCCTAAAGGGTCTTCCTACTTTGTTGAGGCTCTCATCATAAGAGAAAAGGACACAAAGGAGGTCCCTTGTCAAGAAATACAATAGTGTGAGGCCTTAAAGAAGGTTAGTTGGCCTTAATGGGTTCAATCATCACCAGAGTGCTCTAGTGAACATTGTGCAGAGGACAGCAACTGACCCACCTTGTTAATGAGAAGACTGGGGTGATTCAAGGTCCTGGGCAGCCCTTCTGTGAAGGAGAATCACTGTGATGGAGGCACTGGATGGCAGGACGTCTCCTGGCCAGCCTGATCACATGTTTTGCTGGACACTGCAAATGCCCAGAGACCAGCAGATTGACTCCTCCTCATGGATGAGTAACATAGAAGGGCAGGCAACAAAGGGGAGGGAATTGTGTGTTCTTAAATTTATTGCAATTTTCTCTTCCCCTGAATAAAGATTTACACTCTTTCTCAGAGTCTTCATGAGCGGGGAAATGACCAGCTAAGGGCATCCGATTTCTTGCACTTCTTGGTGGGGAGGAGGGGGGTAAACTGGTTTAGTCATGTGTCTAGATATGTGAAATACATTGGTGCTGTTGTTTTCTGTGCTCACTAATCCCCTAGCCAAATATTATTTGTAGGCATTATACTGGCATAACATGCATTATTCTGTTAGCCGGTTTTCTGAGGCAGCTATCTATATGTACAAAACATATGCATGAACAAATAGCCATATGGAGATCTTCATGGAACGTGGGAGATTTGGAGGTTTGGAAACCTTCCCCTCTCCTATTCCAAGTGACATACTCTCTCCTCCACACATACATAAAATGAACCATGGAGAGCTATTTTCCTAAGCAAACGGAAATGCTGAATTTTGAGGTGGGTAGTTGCATTTCAAAGCCAGAAATCCACATGAAAGACATTTGCACAGTGCCATCTGGACAAGTTTTTAATTAATACAGAAAATAAATAAAAAAAAAGGAGAGAAGAGCAATTTCTTTGCATTCACATTATGTAGGTATAATCCTACTAGAAAGAAAAAAGAAAAGAAAAAGAAAAAGAACTTGTCCATGCTTATACTTGCAAATGCATAAGGTAGAACATCTACCGCAGATGTATAAGAATAAACTTAGAGCGACATAGAATTCTAAACATAGAATTTTAACAGTTGTATGGATAGTTTTATTAGTTTATTAATTTTATTAGTTTAGAAGAATATCGTTTTCTTGAAGTGGAGATAGCAAGAAAGGGTAGTGACAGCAGATGAAGAAAACTTTTGTGTATTTTGAATGATGGAGTTAATTCCCTCTAATCAAACAATCAGAACCAGTTTTGAGAATGAAGCAAACAGTTGAGTCTCCTTCTCTCTTAATGCACATAATACAGGATTTTTGCTGCCTGTTTGCAACCTAATCACCCCTTTTGCTACCTGAGCAGCAGAAGGTAATAAAATATATTGCACTGAAGACTGAGTCCTCTGCCTGACAGGGGAAGTGCTAAAAGAGAAAGTGCATGTGGAGTATTTAACTTCCATTTTTTTGCAGCTTTGAGAAATACTTTCAAAGAATGATCTGCTTCATCATCTGTTTTTCATGTTATATTTTTAAATCAGGAGCACTGAAATACCCATTTTTTGATGACAGAAGAAATCAACGGATCCTTGTCATTATGAAAGATTTCATTCCATTCATCTTGAACAAATTTCAATATATTTTTCTTGTCTGACGAAATTTATATCATCAGCTTCAAGTTCACAGAATATTTCTCACATCTGGAATGAAGTTCTTGGCCCATTAGTAAAATTCATCTCATCCTTTCCCTTGTTCACAGAAATTCTATAATACTTCTACTAATGTTTTAATAGATGTTGAGACCTTGGAATAAAAGCACAACTCACAGCTAAGAAGAAGTGACACACTTTTTATGCTGGAGGAGAAATAAGCAAACCATATTTCTGAAAGCGTGAAGCCAAAGGCGTATGGAACATATGTCTCCCGTTGTGAACAGGTGCTCACTGCTTCAATGTGAGTAAATGATGCTAGCACTGCTACATGAGGCAACATCTGTGCTTAAAGTGAATTGCACCCCAAAATGGCCAGACGCTTGGGGCATCAGTAGAAAAAAGTCTTGCGTCCGGTATTTAGGTTATTATAAAGCTGTTTCTTTGCTCTGTCCTGCCTAGAAACATCACTAGCTAAATAATCTAATAAGTAGAACATCTATGGTGAAGTCTAAATTTAGGAATATACTTCAGCCCTCAAGACAATGAGTGTTCAGGAGAAAATCTAATTTTATTCCTAACATTATTTGAGCTTGAAAATGGCGTTGTGTCTACTTAGCATGTTAAAAGTCATGAAATGTGTTCTATGGATTAGCGCAAGATGTTCCTCTGGCCTCCAGATGTTTCTCCTAGAGTATTTTCATTCTATTCAGAACACT